TTTTTTTCAAAACAACTATTCAACTATGAGAAATACATCCCAGCATAGTATAATGAAAAGTATAATGGACATAGAACGAACGTGATGTTCAACCTGGTTTGTCTCGTGGCATGGCTAGACACCTAGGAGCTAGGTGAGTGTCTTGGCATGGTGCCTGCCTTAAATTTACTGATTAACAAACTTTAATATGATTTATATTGAATTGATTAATTATTGGTTATTACATTCACCTCCATTTGATGAACAAACCAAGAGAAGAGATCCACCAACGGTTTCTGTGTGTTTCCTTCTTGCCCGGGAAGGATGGAAGTAGAAATGATAATATGAAATGACGATTAAGTGACATATACCCATTCATCGTTGGACATTTTTCTAGGCATCTCTGCATCCATCAGGAGAAGATGTTGATGAGAACATTGAAGAGGATGAGGATCAGGTGGGCAGTGGGCCTAATTGGTTCTCGAACAGTCTGTGTTGAACCTTTAGCCCGTCATGATTTGATGAAACCTTTCTCGCTTATGGCCAGCTGAAAGCCACGACTGAGCCACTCACTAGGCTTGATTGACTCAGGGCATCTCAGGGCCCATGGCGCACCAAGGCCCTAAGGATCCCTAAGTCCCTAGGGCATTGTTTTTTGGAGACATGGATTTCAAACAGTTTTCCATTGAAAGCGAGCTGTGGCCTCTAACCGAAGAAGGAAACCGAACAAGAACTATGGGGATAGGTCAGAAACCTGGAGCCCGAGCAACCACCACGTTACCAGGGTCGGTCGTGCCCGGTCAGTCTGGTTGGACCGAGCCGTCTACATCACACCAAGACGCTTTGCAAGTGAGCACAGGAGATCCCCACTTCGAATGTATTGGACACCGTGCCACCAACCACTCTGAACCGGTGTTTGAATCTCCATGTGGTTTTTGTTGACCATCCCTCCATGTGCCGCGCAGTCCCCTCGAGTGCCGGGAAGTCGCCCTTTGCCTTCGAGAGTGGGCCCGTTGCGCGAAGCGCTGCAGGTGAGGGACCCGTTTTCCACGTGTGGTTTTGTCTCGGGGACGGGCGACGGCGGTGGTGTTTGGCGGGAGAGGCGTGTCTTCAACCTCGTAGCGCCGAGCTGGAGGAATCCAAATATATATATATATATATTGAATCATTGAAACAGCTCTCTATGCCCACACATCACCAAGCTGGATAGCTACAAGCACAGCTACCAGGCATAGGGGCACGAACCGGGGCAACCGGCTCTTTTTCAGGCTACAGCTGCAAAATCAGGCAGAATTTTGACATATGTTGACATCATGTGATGTCATTTGATGTCATTGTCAACAAGCCACTCCATGGGACTGCCATATTTATATACATTATTTACATTGGGGTGGTTGAAAAGGGGTGAATGTAGGTTAATATGCCACACATGGAGTGTTTGGGGTCCATTTAGTCACCCGTTCTTCTGCAGCCTGCAGATGTGAAGCAAGGAAGACGTCTGTGAAGCACTGGGTGACTGGTAGTTACATTTGAGTCATTGAAAACAATCATTCGGATCAGTCATCAGTCAACTTGAAACGTTTTTATTCGATGTATCATGACTTAACAAAGAACACTTCATGACATCAAATTACTTGACATGAAGCTTCTTGGATGATATAGGCGTTCCTAGACCAGCTGGTGGTTGGTTGAAGATGGTGGTCGGGTGCGTTGTGTTTTTTTTTTGTGTCAGGGCTTTAAAAAACAGCTTCAGGAACAGCTCTGACTGGGAGGGCGCGAACAGCCAGGGTAGTACTTCAAACTTAAAACCATGACCCAGACGCTCCATGTATGCCATATATGCCTACATTATATACCATACATCGAGCGTTTGGGTGATGAAACATGATTATTTAACTGCCGGGGCTTGGGCTTCTAGAGGGCAACTGTTTTCCGGAACCGGGTCCTCATTGAGATCTCTTGATTTCTTGCACACATGAGGACAACCGTCTTCCTCTTATTGGGGTCTGGTGCTTGTTCCGTGGTGAGATGTTGGAGGTGTAACCTTATGATCGACGATGTGTTGCATTGCGAGCCGAAGAGCCGCTCTCGCCAGATTTGGGGCAATCGCAAGGGCGAACGTTCATCCATCGCCCATCCAAAAGTCAGTTTAAGTTATGGGACCCGAAGGACAAATCGGTTTTCCCATCCAACCGGCCCAACGGGGTGTTTCGAAGTGTTGGTCCCCAGATTCTGCGGAAGGAAGTCGGACCCCAGATTCTGAGGTGTCCAGACCTCACCGATCTCGGAGATTGGATGTCTCCTTTTACAGAGGTCATTTGTTGGTCCCCGGATTCTGAGTGTTTCAGCGTCATGTTTGGAACCTTCACAGACACCTGTCAAGAGGATCACAACTCCTCATGGGAACCTTGTTGGTATTAAAACATATGTCTTGACTTGATGTTTCACCGTTTAACTTTGATCATACGACAGGTGATGGGCATGTTTTTTGTTCAATTTTGTCCAGGAACCTCACCCTTTGAAAAACCAAGATGCCAACCACACTTCAACACTTGTTTATGAATCCCAGGACTCTGAATTTTCTCAGATGGACGCAACCCCCGCCAGCTAGGCGCGGCTCGAGGCGCTTCGCAACCAGGCGTGGCAAGCGTGTGCATGTTTGGCCACCGATCTAAGACACATGCTGCGGTGGAGCAGATGCCGGTTTGCAGAAAGTCATGTTCTCGGCCATTTTTCTCACCAAAAGGGATTTCAAAGCCCAGATGGGACAACTACCTTGGGTTTCTCGCTTGACGGCCCAGGTGTCGGTGTCGTGTGTGCCACGCTGCCACGCCATCCGGATGTCCGGAATGCCGCGCAGTTCGTGGGAACGGCCCAACTGATTCCGGCGCAGTTCCGGCTCAAGCCGACGGCTACACTGTGGTTATTTGAGTTCGTTCGGTTCGGAAGCGGACGATGGGGAACTGCAACTTGCTGAGTGCAGCTGGGGGGTGGACATTGTGAGCAAGGAGGTATAAAACCCTATGTTAGCAGATGCTTGGGTAGGATTCAGGGGTTGCCATTATTGAATACCATTGAATCGTTGTAGTGATGACGATGGCAGCCATGGCAGCCACCCCCTATTCTTGGCCAACCGGTTCGGTATCAGTCATTGATGGCGTTCACGACCAGTTGGTTGTCTTCTCTGGGTGGTTAAAAATGAGCCCGATTGAACCACGACTTTAGGTAGCACACAATTGCAACTGCAGCTATAGTGCAACTAGCTAACATGTTTATGGAAAGAGGGTGGCACGTGTTTGTATTATTGTTGGTCATCCGGTCTCTATTGATCATCCGCTGGCATGCTGGGAACTCTGTGTAGCGATCCGTCGGACACTCTGTGTATGGCGCATCCAGCCAGAGCAATAGGGATGTCCATCGTGAAAACAACGATGGCGCTGCAGATTGAGGTGTCCATCAGGACTTGTGACCCCAAAGCATGAAAGCTTGTCGTTTGGGGGATGGTGTGGCTTCCAGGCTTTGTTGTCCCCTGCATGGCCGCCATGGTCGGGGGACGAGTGAGGACGACTTCTCCATCCATCGTCGGGCTGTCGGGCTTCGACTCATCCCAAGTCGATGGGTCTTCCGAGGTAACTGCAAGGCCGATGAGGAGGGCAAGACCAGTGAGATCCAGGCAGCCTCGAGGGCTGGACATGGCGAAAATGAAAGAAACACGTTGGTCCAGTGAATCCAGCCAAGAACATACCGCCCCGAAGACTAAACATGGAACCTCAAAACCATGCGTTTGTAAAGTCAGAGGACACATTTACCAGGGGGATATTGTCAGGGTCTATGTATATATCCATTGTATGTTCGTTTCCTTGAGAAACACATACATTGATTCGAGAAAACCACACCACTTTGTTGGAAGAATGCTTTGCTTGAACCAACATTCGACTCTTGGGTGCCTACCTGCCGAATACGGTGGTCGGGTGGTCAACCATGCGACCGAGTCGGTCGACCGAGTAGTCGCTGAGGAGGCGAACCGCGCCCTGAAAGAAAGGAAGTGGAATGCACATGAGTGCACCATCTTTGCAGAGAAAACGTGTTAAACAACGTCATCCAAGGGGCCATGGTTCCACGGAACCATGACAAGAATCATGGAGTGTACCGACAGCATGGGATTGATGTTGCATAGGGTCAGCTTTGAACATCCTCGTCTTCTCCTCCCTGCATACCTTCATGGCGGACGATGTCCAGGTCTTCAAGACCGAGATTGCCATGGGCCCAAAGGTGAATCGAATGGACAGGAGTCCTGGCAAAGGGGCCGTTTTTTTTGCCCAAGGTTTGAGAAAGAGAAGGTGGTTTTGGAATGCTGGACAGCATTTTTGGTAACTACTACATGGAGGACTTCATGCTGACCGCTGACGGGATGTTCGATGTTTGCTCAGCTTTGGACGACGAGCCGTTTGGAGCTCGTTGGGATGAATGTTCGATGCACAGCCAACCTGAGGGGAGCAGTTTGGGTACGTATCCAAGAGGGAGCCTTCTTGAACACTGACATGGTCCATGAAATGGTCTTGGTGTAGAGTGTAGAGTGCAGAGTTCAAACCATGACCCTCAACGAATAAATGGTGGTGGGATAAGGATGACTTCAAAGATAAACTGCCCCACTTAACGGTTGGCTTAACGCAGTAGACAATGAACCGAAAGAGTGATGAATGTTTATAGACGTCCTTGACCACCCTTTGCAGATCCTTGTGGGGTGCATTGGCAGCATGTTTGGATGATTGGCATGCGCATTCCGAAGCATTCCCAAGGAAGAGGGCCTTCATTCGGCCACCCCCACGCTTGCCTCCAGTGGTGGACCGCGCTTCGAGAGATGTCGGACGCGGTGGGGGCTGTACCGTTGGGTCTGCAGATGACCCTCATTCACAGATGGGGTTCACGTTACGGAGCTCCGCTATCCCGCCTATCCCCGAAATGGTTGATTTGTTCATGCCAGTTGGGCACACATGGGCTGAGAACCTTTAGACAGTGTGAGAAGCTGACCATCCGACCCAAAGCTTCCTCAGGGTCCTTCCGCAGGACTTCCCATAACAGCCTTAATGTAGATTTTTGATTATAATAAACCCCCCTTATGAAGAGAATGTTCCAATTCAAATGGGCGGTGTCACCCCGACACCGGGCTACCGACACCGGATGTGTGGCGCAATGTCACCCTGTGTGACGTTCACTTTTCAGCAAGAACCCTATTCAATCTTGCAAGCAATCGATCACATATATCATAGAGGCAACACATTGATATGATACCAGTTCCATTGCAGAGCACATGACTAGCTAAATCATGCTAAATCTACATGTGTGTTTCGACATTTTGTGAAACCAATGCTGCATGTTTCTTGAATACCTATTCTCTCTTGTTCTTTTCTCGCTCGCACCGGACGAGTTTTCCCGAGAAATCTTCGGACGGTTTTCCCGCAACAAATAGGCCTCACTCGTGACCTGCGAATCGGTGTTGGAGGTCTGAAAATGACCGGTCACTGTTACTAACAGCAATACCAGCTCTTAGATACTGGTATTAAGTTGGGAATGTGGCTCTATTTTATGACCTGTATAGTAGCTCCATGGAATCATGGAGGAAAAGGGCCGAACTTGGAGGATAGGAGTGCTCGTACCCTGTAGTCACATCCACTCACAGGATGTGACTACAAGCAACCCATTTGATTTTTTCCGAATCAACAATAATATAATAATGTAATATAATATAGGTGAAGGCGTGAGGGGCTTGAAGTTCACCGGATTGACCAATGACAGAGCTGAGCAGTGAGCTTGACCGTTTTTGTTGTAAAATACATTGGATTCAGGAGCACGACTTCAAGGGAAGCAAGAAAGCCAGCAAACTGCCAAAAGGCATCTTGGAGAAGAAGCACAAATGAGATGGACCAAAGAGAGGACGTGGATCTTTGGGGAGGAACTATGTCTCGCGAGGACAGAACTTGACCATGCTTAACCAACCGCCATGGCTGGGAAATGCATTTTGCTTCAATGAGTCAGTGGTTCCCAAACGCCATTTCCTTTGAGCAAGCATGTTCGTGGAGCCCAGAATGTCCTGCATATGACTGTTGAGGGAGATGATTGTGGTTTCCATAAGGGAAGATTCTATATATAGTCTGTAGTCTATAGCTTCACACATATCTTCAGGGCTAAAACAATCCATCCAGGGGGCGGGAAGGGAGTCCCCCAGTCCAGACATGCGTTCACGTCAGCTTTGGGCGTTTCAGGCAGTGGAAGGGTTCGGCTTGTGACCTCAACGCTGCGCTTCAACGCTGCGCCGTGTGAGGCTTGTTTGAGGATGCAGAGTTCCCAGCCACCAACGAGAGCATTGGAGGTGTCACAGGCAGAAAGCCAACAGCCACCAGCTGCCACCAGTTGAAGATGCATTGGGTATTTTGACGGTATTTGTATGTATTGGCCAGTTTTTGTCAACATCCAAAACTTCAAGCTCCTTGTGTTCACATCGGACCATCGAGTCAACAAGCCGTTCTTACCAGGCGACTCTGACCCGCAACTACTGCAACTACATGTCTTTGTGCCATTTGCATCCATTATTGCATCATTGAAAGTAGATGTTGAAACTGCTATGCCGCTATGCCTGGATGTTTTCCGTTTCTCTTGGACTTTGCTATTCCGTGCTCTGGTCAGCCAGAGCCCCCCCTCACCTCAACCCTTCAACAAGATGCTTCGCGCCGTGCCGCGCGTCGTGCCGCGCCCGGAGGCGACAATGCCAACCCCTTAGCTGACTACCTCAAGGACCGACCCGAAAGCAAAAAGCACGGCGCAAAGCCCGGTGGTTTCGCGTTTTCGTCCAACACTTCGACCCACTCAGTTGTTTCACTCTAACCCACCAGAAGAGGGGATTTAAAGAGCTCGATCTATATTTAAAATGTTTAACCATTAATCGGTTGATTACTCGGTTGTTTTGGTTTCCTGTTGTTGTTCTTGTTGTTGTTGTTGCTTAATTGAATGTTTGTTGCTTGCTTGCTTGCTTGCTTGCTTGCCTGCCTGCCTGCCTGCCTGCCTGCCTGCCTGCTTGCCTGCTTGCCTGCTTGCCTGCTTGCTTGCTTGCTTGTTTGTGTTCTTGTGTTTTTGTTCTTGTTGGTTGTTGCTTTTACTTGTGGTTTTACCTGTTGTTCTTGGTTCTAGTTCTTGCTTGTTGCTTCTTGTTGCTTGTTTTGTTTTGCTTAATATCTTGCCGGTGGCGCTGTTCCGCAAAAGGTCGAACGCAGTGGTACCCGGTCAACCCAGTAATGGGGTTCAGACAGGTCAAAGAGCTTGGAACAATTGGCCAAAAAGGAAGACCATGTGACCATGTGTCCTGTGACCATGTGTCCTTTATTCATTGTTGGTCACTTCAAAGGACAAGAAGCCGTCAGAGGAACGTTGGAAGAACAAGAGTGAGGGTGACTTAATCCTGCGACGACATTGGGGAACATTACTGTAAGCAACATGGAAACATGGACGCCTCTGGGCAAGGGAGATGGAGAGATAGATGATATAGAGCAGAATAGAGCAGACGAAAATTTGGCGAACCGCACGTCCGCAAGCAACCGTGCACTATCATAGGTCAACATCGCAGAACATCATCGGTCTCAGTCT